GAAAAGCTTAGCAAAGGTACGTAGTGGCGAGAAAGCGCTTCTTTCTTTAATCACGCGCCTACAAAGAAAGTTAAAGTATGCCTGAATGCTCAAACTTGAGCCTCTATACAAAGATTCCTTCCTTACCTAGAATACCCTAACCAATTGGTGACAAAAATGGGTGACACAAAAAATAAAACTAACCAATTTGGACAAAAGAGTGGGAATATTTATCGCTTACCTTGAAGGATTCCTTTGTAGCATGTACACATCACAGATGTTCAATCTACTGCGTGAAACGAGCGTGAAACAGCAAGCATGCTCAATCTGAGGGGATCAACAGCAGTTATACTATGGCAACTGGTGCTGGAAACACAGCACTGTATATTTATGTAAGCTCACCTCTATATTTCTCCTCCTGGTACATAAGTTTTGGTATACTGAATAGTTTTATTTAATGTTTTCACAGGTGGCTTATGGGTTCACAAAATGATTACTTGAGGCCACGAGTAAGGCTGACTATTCTACAAAACCAATAGGACATTCTAATGTTATTCTTTTTTGACTGTATGCATAAGCAGCTCTTTTACCATTGAAATTTTGTTTTTGATTCATAAAAATAGCTGTGCAACAGATAATTTATCACAAAAAAGACAAACATATGCTCAGTAAGCTCTGAACTGCTAGAGAATAATTATGTATTAAGTAAAAAATGCACAACCTATTGCAGAATATGCTAACAGGAGGGCTTATTATTATGCGTTATTATTATACATGAAGGGCTTATTAGTTTGATGAGTTTGTTTACATTCGTAAGAATAGAACATGCACAGGCACAACGCATGAAACAGACAAGTAATGTCTGTTTGACATAGGTGTCAGGAGCCACCTATGTCGTTATTCTCATTTCGTTTTTAGTGAGCATGTTCTTTAGGGGCTAATTGTGCTTACACCATTACCATATTTGCTGTATCAGTGTCACTGAAAGATTTGTATGCGTGTGTGTCGGTACACTTCGCCCAAGCTTTCATGTAGCCACAGCGCCGAAAACCCTGCACAAAAATATTTAAAAATATTCTATTCTACACCATTCTATGGGGCACACTACAAAGTTGCAAAAACATGATGTGTGCAATGGAGTGCGGCTGTTCAAGGCTTTACCATAGCAGATCGATATTTCTACAGCCTGATTATCTACTATATGCAAGTATCGATATGAAGAAAACTAACAAGGCGTGAAAAAGTGCAAATTGCCGACGAAACAAGGTACATGTAATTTTTTCGGTTAGCTTAACAATTTTTCACAAAGCACATGTCATGGCGCTGCAAAGCTCAGGCATCAAAGGGGTACTGATACGAATTTTAAATATTTCTTAATTGTTACCCTAAATAGAGTATTTACTCGCTTTATAAATGCACCCCTGACTTCAGTCGCATGCTGCAATTAGTCAACTACTCACCCTCTTTGTGGCACGGGTATAGGACACCAGTGTCGTCTGTGATTTACGTGTATATTATACGACGCACAAGCGTTTCTATCAGGAAAAAAAAAAGAGCAGTAACTTCCCACAGAGAGGTGCGTCTCATTAAACAAGTTCACCGGTGCTTAGTGGATGTGCGCCAAGCTTGTGCTGCGGCGCGGCATGCGTGCACAGTAGCTGCATCAGAGTGAGCTCAGCTAGTTAAATGCAAACGTGCCTAGTTCCATGGCAATACGAACGCTGCATACAGTCAACTTGAGCTGATCTATGATTATCGGTCTAAATAAAACTCACTGAATTACTTTGCATTTGTAGATTGATGCGAAATACTTCAGTGTGAGACAATATGTAGATCCCATTGTAAATAAGACAGGTGCTCTGGTAAGAAAAACTTAGTGTGATTTCAAATGAAAAAGTGCACATGATGGCCTCTCGAAAACTGTGTGTAACCGTTTCATGCTACGTTTAAACGCAACATAATATTTTTAACGATGTCTCCGTGAGAATTATTTATGAATGAACATCAGTGGGAGCAAAATATTTTAGTAAAGATTTCAAAAAGTCAACCCATGAATTAAGTCGCTGAACAAGTGAGGAATCTTCTGATTAATGTAAGCAGGAGTCGCAAAGTAAACTTTATATATAGCTCAATTTATTTTAGCGAATGAAACGTGAAATGAAAACAAATGCCGAAACATTGATCTTTTAACCAAACGTTTGCCATGTGGTTTGATATCAAACATTGGGATGTGATAAGTATTGATGCTTTAAGCTATATACCTAAATGATAGGTGTAATGTTGAGGAATCACCCTTGAGTGTAATTTGTGAGCATACACCTCTAAGGGACAAAAAATAAAAAAATGAGTGTACATAAACTGTTATACCCATTAGATAATTTTGGCAAAAATATTAGGTGCAAGATTGTTGACTTATGGATAATCCACCCCTACAGGTGTGAAACGGTTTGCAGTGTAGCGTATAATGCAGATATTAGCATCTCATTCTGAAGGCTAAAGGCCCTTACATGGAATTGCTTGCTTACAAGGCGGAGTCAGGCATTCTTGGAGTCAGTCCTGTGGAAGTACCTAGGGGAAGGCGACTGGAGACAAGAGTCCCCATAGTGCTACGTAACTTATGCCCGGGAAAATGTGCCCAGAAAGTAGTGGTCAGGGCCCAGAGAGTCAGGTGGTGTGGTCGCTACTACTAACCACCGTAATCCTGAAAGACGACTTTTTAAGTAAGAAGCAGGGGATGTGGTCTGGGTGACAGACATGCAATCCAATGAATAGTCCTTGCACGAGCCTTGAAACCGCGGTCATGCGAAGAGTGAACAGACGACGGCGTTGTCCTCTAGAAAAACAGGACAATGTTTAACAATGTCCGAAAAAAGGGTGCTACGTGAAACGTATGAACTTACAGCAAACTCGAAGCAGCTGAGCGTGGTCAGATGGGTCGACTGCAACAGACTCAGATGGGGCTCCCGACTCGCGCTGGGGCCTACAGCCCCAGCGCGAGTCCGAACCCAATGCAATTGTACCGCGGTTTGGCAGAGTGGTGAATAATCCCATACGGTTGGACATTGATGAGAAGTGCTTTGATGTTTTTATTTGACGTCCTGCTTTATGTTGCTTATTTGATTTTGGTGTGTTACTTCGTTTGGGATAACAGGTTTTCTACAATATATGTGTGAATGCGCATCTACTTGAAAAAAAAGGAAGATGTGCTGTTACCAATTGCTTTTATTCGGCATGTGATGTCACAACTAATAGGCAGTGACAACCGTGTGCGCCTAGCTACCCTTTGGCCTCCGGAATGTATATAATCACTTCCACACACTAGAGAGGCGGCTTTTCGTTTGCGTCACGTAGAGAGAAGCTCGTCTACTGTTTATTGCGACACGCATACGCGTCGCGCTCGTACGCAGTGTCACGACAGTTGGTATGTCTTAATGCTTGTGATGCGCTGCTCGGTTAAACAAAAACACAGTGTAGTATTTTTTCTTAAGCATCACAAGCATGAAATCTTTTTGCATCTCATTGGTTCCTTGTGGCTCACGTCAACTGAGCCCACAATCATGGCTTATTCTTCGTCATTACAAAACCTCCGAGTATCACCAAATAATTACAGCGGAAGCTGTCATGTGCTCACAACAACATCCAATTTTGTTGTCGCAGTTGTCCACCAACCCTTACGTTCGTCACCGCTATCTCTCAAAATGAGGAAAGCACGTGTAGGACCGGTTGTGATTTGAAAAAGAGAGCCCTGCGTGACAGTGGAGTATTCTGCTGCACAATGCTACGCTGGTGCTTGAAACTCTTTTTCAAAAAGACCGTATACAGGCGTCATATTGAGCACGGAATCGCCCTAAAATAACTTCCAAAAACTTTTTATACCATCCCATATACTTTTCTTGGCTAAGTTTTCTGTCAGTTCTTATCAATAGCGTGATGAAAGAGTGAGGAAACAGCCAGGTGTCACACGCTGTGCACGCGTGATTTATGATGGTTTAAGGTTTGCTACCAAATACAATGAGTTTGTCTTGATTCATCAAAAGACAAAAGTCCAAGAAACTGCAGATAACGCCTTACAGATGAATAGTGATTACGTCGCTGCTGCAGGGAATGGGAATAATGACAGGGTGGGTGCTTTCCTATACTTATTTCACTAAAATTGCGATGAATCATGGCGTATGTGTGATTTACTGCAAGTATTAGTTGTTTGAATGGACGGATGATGTAACTTTATTATGAGTCCTGGGGGTTGCATGGAAATATTTTAAAACGGACTCTAAAATGGTGTTGATTATTCAGTAGATACGCTGTTGATATCAGATACCTAAAGATATAATGGCGTGAGAGTAGTTTCAAAAGTCAAATGCATTGCTTTCAGAACAGCGTGCACAGATAACGAACGTATACTTAGTAGCTTGTACCAGTGCCTAGTCTATAGATAAATATATATGCGGATACACAAGGAGCTTCAGTATACCACGAACTGTTGGAACTGCGTTAATGCACGCTCAGAACTCGAGCAAATTTGGGGCTCTTGCACTCGTGTCGCCACGAGACTCGAACATCGGAAAGTAACGTAAGTCCCAAAGGTGTTCTTGGTCGACAGCTGTATGGCACAGACATGGGTCATACTCTGTTACATTCGTTGGCTGCGATGGAGTATGGCCTCTGTGTCTGATGATTTAGATTTTCCCACCTGTGGTGACCCGGGCGTTGACTCAACCCTCTAACACTACTGCTCCTACGAACACAATAGTGGCCTACGAATCGGCGATGCTGTGTGAAGACCCAGTGTCTCGGGTCCTCAAGCTATTTTTGACTTCTTGAAACAGTCTACAATTGTGGTTCAACAAACCCAAAATAACAGAGCTATGGTTGCTGATTCTTACCAGTCCTGGCTGAGTCTTTTCCTCAAGCACTCTTAACTGGTATCAATCTGAGTTCCTTAAGAGCTTCTATGAAAAGTTTCAGAATATACTTTGTGTACATTTTGTGACTACAACCTCAGTTCGCTAATATATACGCAGACGGAGAAGAATGCCCTACGGATTTGGTGGTGGCGTTAGCATTGCTGTGGATGGCCACGCGGACGCACGCATCAGATCTAGTATTTCTCTACCCAACGTGAGTTTTCATTTATTGCATCAAGGTACGCGTCTAGTGGCAATCGGGAACATTATTTAATTATTTATTTAAAAATACCTTACAGGCCTCCGTTGAGGCACTGTGTAAGGGGGGCAGTACAAAGAAGTGGACTTCCATAGTTGTCACAAAAACACAAAGTCCATGAACAGCCGGTCATGTAGCCGATCACATAATAATATCAGTGCGAAATAAAAAGATATCAACAACACTAGCAAAGATAAAACAGATAATAAGGAAATATATAAGCGACACTATGGTGCAACACAATAAGAGACTGCAAAAATATTACAAAGAAGAGAGCACACTGCGGTAATAGGCGAAAATTTTTACACCTCGTTGACCAGATAGCTGGTCAATGCGTCACGAAAAGCATTATTGTTTGACAAAGACGCGATGCTATCCGGCAGGGAATTTGAACATCGGACTGCACATGGAAGCGCAGAGCAATTGAATGCACGTGTTGATCCGTAAGTGCGGTTAAAGCTAAGGTGATTATGAAGCCTGTGTGACGTGAAGTATGGCCTTCTCAAGCATGCTAGTGGTGTCTGAGATGAATGAATGAACTTGTGAAACAATGTTTGCAAGGCAATCTCACGTCGAGTACTCAATGATTGCAAGGATAGCTTAAGTTTGATATGTGTGACGCTAGATTGGTAGCTGTAATCGTTAGAAATGAAGCGGCTTGCCCTGTTCTGAATTCGTTCCAACATGTCAGTAAGGTATTTTTGGTGAGGGGACCAAATAGGGGAAGCGTACTCGAGTTGAGGGCGAACGAGGGTAAGGTATGCTAATTTGCGAACATTCGAAGGAGTATTTTTTAAGTTTCGTCGCAAGTAACCCAAAATTTGGGAGGATTTGGCTGAAACGGAGGTCATGTGTTCTGACCAAGAAAGATTTGTAGTGAATATAACGCCTAGATACTTTATCGTGTAGCTATTGCAACAATGTCTTTATTGATATTGTATGAATGTAGGGAAGTTATAGGTTTCCGAGTAAATGACTATAATTATATTTTGACGTATTCAATGACATTAGCCATTTACTGCACCAGTTACTAATTTGTTTGAGATCATGCTGAAGTGCCAGATGATCGTCTGTATTAACTATTGTGCGATAGACAATGCAGTCGTCAGCAAATATTCTTATAGTGAAGGACACGCTAGGTGGAAGATTGTTAATAAAGATGAGAAAGAGCAAAGGACCAAGGACGCTTTTCTTTGGTACACCAGGAGATACTTCAGTTAAGGAGGACGAGAAGTTATCTGCAATGGTGAACTGGTAACGTTCAAAAAGAAAGTTCCGGAGCTATGATAAAGTGAAAAAGTCCAATTGAAGAGCTGAAAGTTTAGAAATAAGGCGACAGTGTGCGACGCGATTGAACACCTTCGAAAAATTCCAGAAAAAAGCAGTCAGTTTGTTGGTTGTTGTCCAAGTTAGTGTGTAGGTCCGTAACAAATTCAAGCAACTGTGTCTCGCACGATAGGCCTTTTCTAAAACCATGCTGATTATGAAAAAAGAACTTGTGAGCTTCAAGGTGTCTGTAGATCTGTGAGGCGATAATGTGTTGAAGTAACTTGCAAGAAATGCATGTCAAGGAGATTGGTCGGTAATTTTCGCATGATGATTTATTGCCACTTTTATTTACCGGTATGATCTTTGCCATTTTCCAGTCTGTAGTAAGGAGGCCAGCCGCGAGTGACTGCTTAAATATGTGAAAAAGAATTTCGCTTGACACAGTTACTGTATTTCGTAACATGTTTCAGTTTATGCCGTCTAAGCCACAAGAAGAAGACATCCTAAGGTTATTTTATGAGTGATGGCAGTCCCTCTATTGTGATATTTATAGGTTTCATGGTTTCAATCAGAAACGTAAGGTACGCTTGAAGTATCCTCATCTGTGAATACGGAATTGAAGAATGAATTAAGAGCCGATAAACACTCGCTATTTGGAAGAGGAATATTGCTGCTGCTGTGTAAGCAGATATTATGAGATCCGTGGTTGGGGCTTATTAGTTTCCAAAACTTAGCTGGATTGTTTTTAAGTAGTTCAGGAAGGTCATTAGAGAAATATTTGTCCTTTGCTTCGCCTAAAGCCGAGGAATATGTTTTAAAATAGCATTTGTAATTCTGCCTTGAGGATGATGTTCGAAGGCTCTTGGCGATATTATACAGCGGTTTCTTTTTGCTCCTTATGCGCTTGAGCTTTACTGTGAACCAAGGGTCTAATCTATCATTTGTTCTAGAAACGAGCGGGACATAATTGTCTGCCAACGCGCACAAAGCATTTTTAAACAACAACCAGCTCTCTTCCACAAACCTATAGTAAAATGAGGGCCACATTGTGTTTAAAAAATCTTCTTAGTTCCGTAGTTATTGCAGTGAAATTACCTTTATTGTAGTCTCGAAATCGCTTTGTTATGGGTCCTGCCGTGGATGGTGTTATGTTTATTGTCACTTGAAGCAAATGGGGATCACTGAAACCATTCACGTGTTCTATGTTACTTATAGTTTTCAAGAGCGTTCGTAAGAACACGGTCTAGAACATGGGTACCACGTGCAGGTTTAGAAACAGTTTGAAATAGGTTCACATCTAAACATAAATGAATAATTTCGTTCGATGTATCACAAGAAAATGCTAATTTTGTTCAATCAATTAGCGGATAAGTGAAGTCATTCATTATCGTCGGCAACATTTTGTTATAGCTTTGCCGCGCCAGGCTCATCAACCGAGACACGTACAGCTATTTGGTTGTAACTGGAGTCTTTTTTAGCAGTTGGGTTTAAAGTGGGCGATTTAACCGCATTCGTCACATTTCAAAGTTCTTACGCTATGCATTTTTATAATGAGAGCAAGATAGTGACTAGCAATGAATAAAACGCCAGTTGGTGTGGTAAATGGGTTATCATAGATGAACGCACAGTGAAGCAACACCTTTGAGTCATCCAATGAAGTGGTCAACAAAAAGATCAAACAAAAGTCTTCAGCCACGATGTCTCACTGGCCAGAACCAGGGTAATATTATACGGCATACCAAAGTAGGGGCTCCTAAATGGTTTTTTTGAGATTCTTTAAACACGCATATAGATACGAAGTGAAAAAACAGCGCGTAACACAGGACACAGGACAGAGAAGAGACGGACGAGGCGCTGACTTACAACCAAAATTTATTTCGTACAGGGGTGTATATATAGCACACGAAACTTGAAAAAAGAGGGAGAGAAGTCGAGTGACATGAAAGAGTAATTTTTGTTATGATTGTATGCGTATAACAAATAAACTGTGATTGCGCAATCATCCACTTGTCAAATACGCCAATTCCCTGGTGAGGAGCGTTATCGAAGGTGCACTGACACACATATCGCCTTTCTTGATTATGCAGAATGCCTCATAAATCTCACGTGTCCTTTTATCTCTGTAGCGTCGAAGTATCTTGCATTTGTCAAACAATGCACGGCATCCACAAATGGAGCTGTGCGCAGCTAAGTGGCTGCCAACAGAACCCCGCATTAGATTGCGGTGTTCCCTGAGGCGGTCATTTATACAGCGGCCAGAATGCCCGATGTAACAGCGGCCGCAAGAGAGGGGAATTTCATAAATGGCACAAAAACAACATTCAACAAACTTGATTGCGTGTTTTTTATCACACACGCGAGGCCCTCTGTCCTCTCTGTTCACCTGATGGCACATACTAGAGAACTTATTTCTGGCTGAAAAAACAACTCTGATTCCAGCTTTTTGTGCTACCTTTTTTAAACAATGTGACACCTTATGCAAGTAAGGAATGACTGCTGTTCTTGAAAAAGAACTTTTTTCTTGACCACTAGTCGGTTCGGTTAGCTGTTTGATGTCTTTTAAGATACTTTCAGCTATGGAACACAGTATGTTATCCGGGTACCCTGCCTTGCGCAATCTGCGCACCTGTGACTCAAAACTAGTACACAATGTGTGATGGCAAGACCGCATCAGGGCCGCCTTTAGACAGGATTTTGCAATCGCTCGCTTTACAAGTTTTGAATGCGCAGAACTGTAGGGTAGCAAACTTTTTTTGGAGCGGGGGGCATACTGCCAGCACACGTGGTCGGACAAAAAAACTTCAATGTCAAGGAACCGGAGTTTGTTAGCAATGGGGAATTCAGTGGTTAGTTGCAGTGAGCCCAAGCAAGTGCGAAACACATCAACAATTTGATCAGCACGTTGCTGAGCTTCAGAGTGGTTGGACCGGTACAAAATCAAGAAGTCATCAACAAATCTAAACACTTTCACGGCGCTCGTCAGTTGTAGGCAATTAATGAGAGATCTGTCATATTTGGCTAAAAGAACGTCACTTAGGATCGGGGCGAGACAGGAACCTATGCAAACACCTTCTTTTTGAATATAAAGTTTGTCATCATGCTTTATAAATGTAGAACGTAAATAAAAGGTCAACATTTCTAAAAAGTTTCTGACGCTAATTCCGCACGAGTCCTGAAATTTGACGTTCCCATAGCGGTCTATGCAGTCGCTCACCTCTGCGCACACCTGGTCCATCGGCAGGGAATAGTATAAGTCTTTTACGTCGACAGAAAAGAAGCTCACTTCTGAAGGGCACTCTTGTTGAAGAAATTCGGATACTATTTGAGGCTTTCTGATGAGGCAAGGGTCTTCCACAGGAAGGACAGATAGGGAACGCTGCAGGTACCTACCCACCAGGCGCTGCCATGTGCCCTGTTCCGAGACAATGACGCGGAAGGGAACTTCCGGCTTGTGCGTCTTTGCTGAAAAGAACACTGAAAGGTTCACACCCCTCGCTGCTCTCACTGATGACGCCAGTTTTTGAAGGCCAGCCTCTTCACAAAGTTTGCTAGCTGTTGCCTTGACCTTGGAAGGTTTTACATTCGCGACTTGGAAGTTTTCGGTGACAGCAGCGTCCGCCTTTTCTTTGTAGACGGTTGTCGGGGCAAGGACAAAACCGCCTTCAGCTCCCGTAAGTCCTTGACCA